ACGTAAATGTAATTTTCTTTCAGCAATTTTTTGCAAGTGATATAGGGATCTAAACGGATCGCATATTTTCTAATAAATAGCATATGTTCTATATTGAATTCAAAAAGCACAAAACTGCACTCAAACATTAGTTCTTCTTGAAATATAAGCTGGCAATACGAATATTTGAAAATATAGTGCTTCCGAATCTGCATATTTTGTCGCAGTAATCTTTCGTTTTATTTATAAAACAATTATTATTCACTCTATAAGGAAATTTAGACGATAAAAATATTATTGCTGACAAGAATATTCTTAATATTTATAGGGAATTGCTGGATTACGAGACATGCATCAGATCGGTTATATTCACAGAGATATGAAACCACACAATATGTGCTTCGGTTTATCTGAAACTGTAAGTTTCAGACCTCAAGAAACTTATAATGTTAGTAGTTATAGAAAAAACGGTTGTTAAAATATTATTTTATAGCTAATGAAAAGTCTTTAATTTCACGAAATTTTTGTGTTTAGATTCCACTCATTTTATTAATTTTGTAAATCTCTTTTGTAGTGAGCCATGCCAACACCAGCTCTGGAAACAGATATTTTGCTAACTGCTTTATTTCATGTAGAGTAAACATCGACTTGTAATTGTTGATTACGGTCTTGCACGACGTTTCCGTCTACCCAGCGGAAAGTTAAGACCTTTAAGAAGTGATTGTGGATTTCGTGGTACTACAATTTATGCTTCCTTACGAGCACATGAAGGAAAAGAACTCGGTAAAAGTTATTTGCTAGAAGTTAACGGTATTAATAATTATATAATAATTATTGTTATTGCAATTAATTATTTGTTCCAAATAAACCACAAAACTTTTTCTGGAAATTTGCAGCTTCATTTGAAGTAAGGAATATTTGTCATAGCTGTGCTATTGAAACTAATTAAATCTAATAAGAGTGAAGACAAAAAATTCAGCTCACATGAGATATTTTTAAACTTTTCACTTCATTATAGGGCCATCAGATGACTTGACAAGTTTATTTTATACAGCAATTGAATTAGTTCTCGGTTGTGTTCCATGGAAAAAGGCTAAAAGAAGTGAAGATGTAAAAGCAGCTAAAGAAGCCATTGTAAGATTTAATATTCTAAAATAAGTTATCATATCCTCAGACTCAATGCAGCAAGATAAATTTTGCAGCAAATTTCATTTTTAGGGTTTAATTTTTTGAATAGTAAAGTATTTCATTATGAATAATTTTGAGCGTAGATTATAAGCTAATAGTGACTTTATGAGACCCATATCTCATGAATTATGTGAGCAGTACATTTAGGAGAGTGGGATTATATTTGAAAAATATTTATTAAATCTTTTAACAAATCGTTTTATGTAATTTCCCATTGAAAATTATCCAGTTTATACTAATTTTTTACCAGATCCAATCTATATATATCAAATTTTATAATTAAATTTAATTCTTATTTTGCAGCAGGAAGACGACTTTCAAACAATATCGAAGAAAGTGGGAGAAGCTTTACGTGAATTCGGACGTGCGGTACATTCAATGGAAGCAACAGATGAACCAAATTATACAGCTCTGCAAAATATAATGCAAGTGAGATAGATTATCACGATTTTGTTCGCGCTTATTAAAATACTGAAATTATTACGTTTTCATTCAAAAAAACGCATTTCTATATCTTTTAAAAATATCTACTGATCTAAAGAATAGCAGCCATATGAGTTTAGAAAATTCCAAGCTTCCATGCTTAATTTTACGATATTATAAGCAAATGAGAGTTAATGACCATAAAATATAATACAAAAATGTGCAAACTTTATTTAACAAATGACACAATTAAATTTATTTTACATACGCATGTGAATAAATGAGTTTTGTGCAGCGAAAAAAGTTACGATAATTCCATCAGTTTCGACGTATGCTAACTTTGCAGTACAGAAAAAACATTACATTAATCAAAGAACAACTTACTTATTTGATACTAAAGCTTTTTTTTCATCATCAGTTTGCAAGATATTAATATTATAGGATTTTACAAGCCATCGACGATTAAGCGACCCATATGATTGGGATAATGACTTTGAAGAAGTATTACGTGAAGACGATATCAACAAAACAATACGCAAGTAATGCATGATCAGATTGACTGTAGTGCGTAATGAGCATCAAACTGATTTTTTTAAATACAATTGTTGTGTATTTGTATTGGAGTGAGGAAAAAGAATTCAACAATTAATAAAGTAATTTGCTGAATATGCTATTTGTTTCTTGCTGCTGCTTGCCTGATGATACAACTTAAGCTTTAATTCGCATTAAGTTAAGCCATCTGAGAAGAAAGCTGAAAAAAAAGAGTTCAACAAAAAAAAAGTTTTGTGTTTAAATTCAAACTTTTCAAACTTTCAGAACTTGAACGTTAGCTTTATTAGTCAACATTCGAAGGCTGCAAAAAATACCATGGATTTTTTTAAAAATTTGAATGACAAACATTAAATTAAAGAATAAATTTTGAAACGATAATTTGTATTTTCAGTAATTTTCATAAATATATCGTTTATATACAATAGCAATAATCTATTCTTTATGGAATCAAGATGGTACTAAGTACTCAACTTTCTGAAACAGAATCTTTACAAAAATTTTTTCTTCGAATGAAAACTGGATTAACTGAAAGGCTAACTTGTGAAAATTGTTTTCATTCAGCATGGATGCAGATTTGATTCAGCACTGAAAGCATATACACATAATGTGATCTAAGACAAATCACCCCTTCATTTATTGTTATAGAAATATTATTTTTAAACAATATAAAAGCGAGTTGACAAAAATAATATAAACAAACAGAAAGAGTAACATTTAAAGAGAGAAAAAAGATAAATTGTAATAAACAAAACTGACAGTAAAAATAAGAATAATACAAATGTTAAAATGACGAAGGATAGAAATATATACCGTGCATAAGTCCAGTTATCAAATGGAATTATTCAAAAATTGAGAATTAGTGTGACCCAAATCTAACGAAAGATCAAACGATGAAGTGATATCGTCCAATGCACTCAATATAGTTTCGGAAATCTCAAAGTTGGATGAAACTGATAGCAGTTGCCATTTTTTTTTTTTTTGGATAAAATTGAATACGCATAAAATAAAGGATTATTCTGCATTACTTCTAACATAACAGATTCCAAAAATTTGCGTTTGAGAAAAAAAAGATTACCATTAAAATTTAGAAGTATGAAAAACCACGAATGTTGTATTAAAGATTGGTAATTTAAGTATTTGGATTTCGTTTAATTCTGAAATGTAGTAACTTTCGATCGAGAGTAGTAACAGATCAGAATTCGACAGATTCATGTTGGCATTAGTTTACAAATAATTGACCATATTGATCATGTTACTTCCAAATTATGAACAATCCCTACCTCTCACAAATCAAAGAAACCACGAAATACTACGTGAGTCGCGTGAATTTGAAAAAAACCATTTGATTATGAAAGACTCTATGTAAGACAACTATACAAATAAAAAATATAATAGAATGGAGAAGCGAGCGTGTGCAAAAAAGGGTATTGTGAGTCGCTATGCAGCAATTATGAAACAATAAATTAGTGCCGAGAAGTACACGTCTAAAGAAGCGCAATAATTATAATAGAGTGCTGATTGAGCAAATGTACGTCAGAAACTAGAAAACAAATTAGTTGTTCAGTGTTTTGGAGTAATCCTTCAACTTTCGCCCTGATTTTGAATTAATTAGGTAGTTTTTAACATATCGATTGGTCTTCTCATCCCTTAGATATGTAACTAATCACAGTAGAGCGGTTTAGGGTGTCATAGATGAATATCACCAAAGTGTATAAAATTTTATTTATGTAAATTTAACATATTATTGATTTCAAACAGCAGTTAGTATAAAATTTAGTCGATAATGTGTAACTAATAACCATTCCCATAATTTGTAACCGCTTTCGAGCTTGTAATATGATTAGTATTTTTCTGTTATTACAAGAACCGGTTGATTATAATATAAAAATTTCTCCAATTTCAACTTTATCTCGTAGACTTCTTTTCTTGTATGAATTTGCATAAATTTAGGAGTAGAAATTGCACAGACGGTTGACAGAATTGTTATAATAAAAAACAGACTAGCGGTAAGTAAGTAATCTTGGATCTATTTATCTCTGTCATAATGTTCTGAATATATTGGGGATTGTATTAAATGTTTTAATTGATTAAAAACGAGGGATTATATTTTTTTCGTAGTGATTATTTGATCGTATCCAGATGTTAATAATGTATGCAAATGAAATTTATAATTTTATAATTTTAGGCTGATCTCAATATACGACTTAATAAATGACAGGAGGTAATGCAGAAGTTTCAAAAAAAATCCGAGTAAGTTTGTTGCTGTGCATGATATTGGAGAAAGATTGTTTCCAAATTCACCTCATTGTCTCATAGGATTTAATTTTCGGCAATTTAGAGAATCTGAACTGCTGAAAACTAAAAAACCTATCACACTTTTTAAAATTTTCTAATAAATAAAATTATTCATCATAACTGCAAGATTAAACTAAAACAATCCACTTTCCATTTACGTTTCTAAAATAGTAGAGATTCGGAGGTTAAGTATCAAAATTTTGTGCTTCTTTGGCATGCAGAGTTAGGAATCCTGCATTCTTTATAATCTTTAATCAGGTAATGACAAAATGCAATATGAATAACATCATATTCTGGGATGGCACTATCATTTATTTATGCTTACTCATCAAAAAATTTTTATAGGCTGCTATAAAAGCTAAATTGGAAGAGCTCGGTGTATACGTAGATGAAGAACTGCCTGATTATATCATGGTAATGATTGCAAACAAGAAGGAAAAAGTGCAAATGAAGGAAGATTTGCTTTTGTTTTTAGGCAAAAATGCTGAAAAATTCGTTGATTGGTCAGTTCCATGTTATATTTCTTTAGTGATGTGCTGCAAACTATTTGCGTATTATTTCATTGCAATTTGGGATTTTAAACCAAAAATAATATAGGAGTTTGTGTGCCCTTCAGGCTTTTCGAGATTTTCGAACGTCTACAGTCTGCTACTGCTATGGATACTGTTCAAGATATAAATGATAATAAGCGCAGGGATAACGAAAGCAGTCAAAAAAAAGAAAGTGAAAGTTCAAATAAACGACAAAAGGATAAAGTGGTAGAAAAAAAGAAAAAACGGGACAGCTCCGATCATTCTAAAAATATCTTAAAGGAGCAAGAAAAAAAGGATAAAGGCCGGCAACGTGGAGCAAAAGAAGCTAACAAGAAAGAAGGTGGTGAGAAGCATATAAGTGTAGCAAAGGTGGTAAAGTCAAAGGTTGGTTTTTTCTCTTTTTAAATTGAATTCACCAAAAAATCTATTTATTGTGCAGTTCAAATATATTATTTTTCTATTCTCGTATTGCCACACAGAATTATGAGTGACCCTTGGTTTCGAAGGTTGTATAAGGTACTTTTTGCTTTATTTGGTTAGTCGCGCATAACTTCAAGGTTTAGAATAATTAGCACTACTTTCTGTCTAATTAGTGTGTTACTGTAATAAAATAATACTGGATAAATAAATTGACTTTTCCTTCATTAATTCGTCTTTCTAAGTTTCAGCCTTCCCGCAAAACGAAATCTCCTCCTGCACTTCTGGAAAAAACATATCGACATAAAAGATCAGAAAGCATGGAACGTCGAGGTATATCAAAGATTTTGTTTTGTTACTTAGTTTTTATATTGTTATTAATGAGATAATGGAAAATAAAATTAAAATATATATTATAAATGTATATACAGCAACTGCTCATTCTGGAATAAGACGAGAGAGTGAAAAAATTGGTCGGAAATCTGCTCATGTGAAGTCGAAAACAGAAAATGAATTAGAAGAAGAGACAAAAAGTAAGGCAGGGAACACAAGAAAAAGGAACGATGACAAAGATAGCCGAGTTAGGAGAAATGATAGGTTAAGTATCATTTCAGATTCGTTGGTTTGCACATAAGAAAATAAATCTATACTGTATAAATTTTATACTTGAAGTATTTTTCATCTATTCTGTAAATTCATAAAAAATTCACATTAAAATGTATTCACATAAAGATGTAGACATAAAGATATGAATTTTTCATGAATTTTCCAGCGGTGTCGATTTGTCCAATCTTCCAAAATTTTATTACTTTCTGTCTCAACATAAACTTGGCAAAGCTCATTTTTTTCAATTGCATGTATTTCAGCAAGGCATCAAATGATCCAGCACATAGTGCTTCGCACCAGCGAAAACGTAAAACATCATCTCGATCGCCATCAATAGAAAAAGATGTTGGTAATTCAGTGCTAGCAGGGGATTCTGTTTGTGATTCAAGAACGAAAAAGGTTTTCAGTGTTCACTTATTGTTTGCGTTCTAATAGAAATGTGGTTTTCAGTACTCACCCATACTTTTTAAATCAATTTTATATTTTTTGATTTAAGCCAAATTAGTCATATAGTCATGTCAAGCATTATAGAGTATGTGAAAGCGTTTGAGAGATTTATCTTTACTTATGATATATTTTCAAAGAAAATATTTTGAAAACATCGAATATTATTGTTTAGTCAAAATATGGTGTTTCTTCAAAACATTTAACCATAAATTCATTGTACAGGTACAGTCATCTGCGGTTGTTAAATTACTACCGGAGCCCTCAGTAAAATCAGTATCTTCTCAAGTAGTTGTTAAACGAAAACTACCTGAGAAAGAAATAACAACGTAAGTGATTTGTAATAGCTAATGGTTTTACAAATGAATCGTGGGGCCAAATCAATTAATGCATAGTCGGTATAAAAAAATAAGTGCTTAATGAAATTTTCAAATTAAAGTTTTTCTGACACTTCTTTCAGTAGTTCATACAGTCATTTGATTTCAATAAAATCTTTTGCGTGAACTGTGATCATTTAGTAAACAATCACGTGGTGTAAAGTCGTTGTTTCTGAAAGCAATCAAAGAAGCAGGTGAAACAACTCGAACGGCTAGCCATATTGCTGGTTATGGCGGTGGAGTAGCAGTGAAAAATGATAAGGACTTTGTGGATCATGGAAAAAAGCAGAATGACTCCGTTGTCTTAGATGAAGAAGAGGTTTATTATTTCACAGAAATATTCAGCATTGTAAAGTAACTTCTTCAAAAATCCAGTGATCAAACAAAATTTCCTTTCTGATCTCTTCCAGTTCAATGTAATTGTTTTCTTACTACTAAAATGCTTTGAATATTTTTCTTCAGAGTATTGAAATTGATGTTTACGACGATATCGGAGATGCTTTAGTTGTAATGCCTGATGAAACATCTGGTGGAGATAGTAGTAACCGTTCAGTCGTACAGGCTGTTGATGATTGCAATTCAAGTGAACCGGAGGTAGAAAGAAAACGTTTTCGAGCGCATGGGTCTGGAATTTATGTGCAAATTTTTCTGATATTGTATACTTACTTGTTGCATTTCTTTTGCTGATTATCTTGATTATGTCTACCCATCTTGATTACGTCTCAGTAGCTATCGTGATGAAGGACTGAGATAGTTGAGAGTGCGGGCTTTGTTCAAAGTTACAGGAATTCTTTATACTTTAACATTTAATGTTTAGCATAGTTTGCATGAGGAGCATTTTTCAGACCAAGTTCTGCAGAGGAGCCAAAATTTTATATAACTCTGAAAGGCGATGCGATCACTGGTTTGGCTAAACAACTCACAAAGATTGGTGAAGGGAGTGTTGAAATTGTGAATAAAAAAGTTAAAACGCGTAAACGTCTAAATGAAACAAATCCAAGTTCGAATTTTCATTTGTTCTGCTTCATAGTTTTATAAGAGTGGTTTTAAAAGTCTAATGTTAACCATTTTTAACAGCAAGAATTTTCCACTTTTTGCCAGTCATTTATTTTCAGTTCTAGCTCATTTGAATATAGCACCCAAGCAAGCTAAAAGAGAACCTACCCATGATAGAACAGTCGTCAGTAGTATGGAGCATAATACGTGTCTAATTTCTCCTAGCAACGAAGTATCCATAAATGTTAGTTTACAAAAAAACTATCATGACTATTTGGTTCGAATTTTTTTCAGAAATTGCTGTAAATCGTGTATTTTTTATCATGAAAAATTTCCGTGATGTAAAATTTATATTGTAGTGATCTTATGTACGAATCAGAACTTATGCAAATTATTCATGATTTCTAGACAGTAGATGAATCAAAGCCTGTGCCAACTTGGGATTTGCAGATACAGCTTCCAGAAGATGATACAAGTGATGACAATGAAGATGATGGTGATGATGGTGTGTTTACTTCATTTTTTTTGTTAATAAGAGTGACAAACTTTTAAAGACTTGATTTATTACTGTTCGATGTCATGGAAAATTTATAAATTTATTGTTTGATTTCAAATACACTTGATTATTTTAAATCGGAAGTTGGTGAATTTTTCTGATAAATTGGTCTGCAAAATATTATTTCCAGAAGCACAAATTGATGCTGTCTTGGCGAGTGCTCAAACGGTTGGTCAAAATTTCGATGAAGTAAACATTGGCTGGTCCATTAGTCTTTTTCTTTCTTCCATCCATTTTGCAATAGAATGATAAATAAAAATAAGAATTTATTATCATGTAATATATATGTATATCATTTTTTTAAGGTGCAGTCAGCGTCGAATTTATCTAGTTCATTGTTTCATCCCAAAGCACCTCCACCACAGCTCTTTTATTCAACACCCCGGCAAAATATGTATGCTCTTAATCGTCAGGTATTCGCCTTTTAAGTTTTCTCAAGCATAAATGGTCTTTTTCATTTTTTTTTACTTGATATTTTTCGAAATTCTGTGAGCTTTTCATCTGTTGTATGTTCCATTCTAACAGTTATCTATCGTTTTTGTTTCTATGAAGTTTTTCATGTATTTGTTAAACGCCCAATTACTTGCTGTTTTTAATAGGACCAAATTTTATGTGTTTAAGGTATCAAAATTGACATCGGTTTTATCAGCAGGAACTGAAAAAATTATGGAACGTTGCAAATTTTGGCCAAATTGTTCCTTGCAAAGCTGTTTATACATTCATCCAAGTAAACCATGCAGGTGAGTCACGTTCTTGCCAATTTATCGCAACCATCTAAATCATCTTTTTAGTTGTTACTGGGTTCATTAAAAGTTATAATAGTCTCCGTGATTATTCGCTGTTTTTTAATGAAAGAGCTATCTTCTTAGGATATCATTTCTTTATTTTCAAAGTACATATTATGGTTTAACTTGATAGCCTTAAATAGACGTAGACATCTTTTGTGTAAAGCTATCAGACGTCTGAAGAATCAAAATAAGTCAAATAATATTGATTTGCTATATATTTGCTATAAAACCGTATAAAGACAATTTACCGAACGGTAAAAATTTTTTCAGCAATTTTCCGAAATGTTCTTTTGGTGATCGATGTATTTATATTCATCCACAGTGCAAATTTGATCAAATGTGTCTTAATCCAAACTGCTGTTATGCACATACCAAAAAGACAACGTATGTTATTAAGAATGTATACGACCATTGGGTCTTTAGATTTCATCGTTCCATATAAAGGTCATACTACTGGTGGAAACATTCACTTATGATCTAAAATTTATGATAAAAGTAGAAATAAACGCCTTTTTATTTTAATTAATTAAGGCGCTGTTGTTCCGATAATACTTCTGAAAGATCACTGTTCTGTGAAGATTCTCTTTCTTCGCTCTCTTGAAATTAATAAAATTTGTTTTTCAGAGCAAATGTAACGGCCGCAGTAGCAGTATCAAATGATGCTACTACAGCACAAGCGTCTTTAAATCCACTGCCAATACTACCATTATCCTCTGTGCTGAAAGTTCCATGTAAGTATGGTGGAAAATGTGCAAACTCGAGCTGCAGTTTCAAGCATCCAAAGGTGAAAAGAAAGTTCCTTGTCTTTTCAACGTCTCGTGTGTCTTTCTTAATTTCTTTCAGAAGATAGCATTTGAAAATTTCGTTAAATGTGGTCATCGTCTTTTGTTATGAAAATAGATCACGATGTTACCATACAGTATGATTCATCTTTTTCATTAGTGTTAGAGTTACTTTTAAAAAACACATGAAACGCAGTAATGATATTTTCAGCTCTGTCGTTTTGGTGATCATTGTAAGAATCGCGCTTGTTATTTTTGGCATCCGAAAGCCAGTGCGATCGCAGTTCTCGGTATGACAGGAGAAAAGTATCGATGGAAAGCTCCAAATTTGGTTTCAACATAAATTAGATATGGGATAAGGTGTCATTTAATGAATCTGTATTTATTTTATGAGTTCGGATCATTGTACAGTGTTGTGATAGATCTATGATTAAAGTAGAGTAGTGATTTTGGTCCTGTTAGGCTTTTTCAGCAATTCAGTCAACTATTACTGAATATTATTTTTGTGCTGCTTATATTGTATTTGTGTAACTTCAGTCCTCAAAATCATCTACTTTTAAAATATGACAACTTGATATTTCCCAATTTAGTGAAATGTGTTAACGAAGCCGAGCAGTGTAATGTTAGCAAATGTGAGTTATAAAACAATAAGTTTAACGTATTCATTTTAATTAGCAACGCGTGAAACTTTCAATAAATTTTTCGAAGCGTGTGAGATATTCATCTTTCATTATTTTTGTGGAAATCCAGCTGTTAAGTCTACTCTTGTTTTTTCAAGTATTCAATTTTTTCTTTGAGAACTTCATGTATTTTCTGTTGATCTTAAATAAAGATGTAGGTAATTATGATTTCCTAGACCTTTTGCTATCTTCATGTTTACTTTAGAAACAATTTTGAAGGGTGGTGTCCTACAACGCGTGTAATTTTATGTCATGGTTATTAATTTAAAAAGAATTGGAGATATTGCAAAAGTAATTTTGTTGTAGAAATCATGTTTCTTCACTCAGTATATTTTCTTGAGATTATTCTAGTGGTTTGGTTTCGTTTTCTTGCAAATTAGGCTGGTTATAGAAAGAATGCATGTAAGTGTAGCAGTATTAAAGTAATGTGATACAAAGCATAACCTTCCAGTTCTTGTAATTGGGAAATAATATCTCATTCAGAACCTCCGCCTGGACTACTCTTTGCATTGGTTTTATTAGTAGGGATTTACAGGGTTTTGGTAGTTGGCATTTGTTTACAGTCTTGAACAGTATTAAACTGCATTGAGGAACAAAACGAGATCGCAAGTGTCAAGTAGAGTGACGCATAACTTATCATCGGTTTCTATTCTAAGTCTACTCTTATTACACCATGTTTTTACACTAATACTTGAAATAGAAATAAGAGTAAATGTATATTTTAATGTAGTTGGTCAAGAGTATCGCAGTATGGAAATTAGTTTTGGTTTTGTGTTTGTTACTCGAGAGAGATGCTGTAATTTGTACTTATTTGGAATCCGTTTGGTGGAGCAATGTTGATCTTTGACATTGTCATGATTAGTAACATCACTTTCATTATGGACAGTGCAAAGTGTGCTTAGTGGTGTAGCACCCGGTATTTTATTGATTAATCATGCAATTAGAGGTGTTGGTGATTCGTTACATTGTAAACTTTCATCATCGTCATCATCATCTTGAATAGCTTGTTGTTCTGCTGTTTGTATTCTTGAGAAAGTCCGATTTGGAAGTCGAATTTGAACTTGAGACCTTTGACGTTCCGTTAATAGTGATGATAGGTTGGTACATTCAGCACGATTAACTCTAGATTAAATATCGCGTGATTAAGTTGTTCTAATGACTGCAAACTATGTCAGCAATAAAATTGATGGCATTGACTTGCTTAATTTGTTCAATAAGTTTTCAAAATTGAAGTTAATAGATGATATCCAAAAAAAGCAATTACTTCGAAGCATGATTATTGCTAAGTAAAGTAAGGAATAAGCTAAAATAGCTTCAAGTACAGGTCTAAAGTGTTCATTGCTATTTATTATTGCTTGCCTATCGAAGAATACTTGCCCCGATAATTGCTATTTTATATAAACTGTTTGAATATTAAACAGAAAAAAAGTAACTAACTGAGTGGTTGTTCGCATTCGACTAGAAAACAATTTGGAGATTCTGTGATGGGAAAACGAATGTGGCTGATGATTCCTTCTTTGTCTACTGCCATCATTGTTATCTTCATTTTGCTGTTTACGATGAATAGATTGTTTTCTGAAATACTAAAAGCATATCATTAATATTGTTCAAGCTGACGAAGCACTTTTTGTGGGACAGTATGTTAAAGAACGATATTAATCTTTTTTTGAATAACAAAATGAACTATAAAATAATCCGAAATTCTGAGTTTACTTTGTACAGGAAATGGATTGTGAGTGAGAGATGAAGTAATATGCAAGTTGGAATATGTAGCAGTCTTGTTTTTAATGAAAAATAATAGATGCGACATAATGAATAAGATTTTACCTCGAAATGGTCGACTTGATGACTGATTGATTCATTTAGGAAAACAAAGAATTTATTACTATGCAAAAAAGTGTTAAAGCAAAGTATTTTCTATTTAATATCATATAAGTTAGCTGAAGTGAAGTGAAAAGTAGCCTTAATAAACTGAAATTGTTGAAAAGTTTTCGAATGAAAGTATAAAATATTTTATTACATTTTTGGTGATTTGAGATATTTTGGTAGAAATATTTGCAGATCTACTGAATGGACTGCAAATTTATTCCCGAAATAAGAGAAAATATACCAAGAACAATTAGCAATTTAATACTAACAAGTTTGACTATTAAAATTGATGGTGTATATCGACAAGTTCTGCGATCTGTTTTTTCGATAGAACAAAGCCCATATAAATTAGCATAAAAAACTTCCAGGATATCCAAGTATTCAAATTTAAGATTATAATGTAATAAAATATACCGAGCGAAATTAATAAGGGAAGAGTCTTCATCAATGAGGTTTTCTGGATGCTGTGATAAATACCGTTTCCAAAGAGCATCTGTTATTTCAGTACAGAACATTACTCCAGCATGAAGACCTATCATTCGTAATACTAATACACCATCGACCTGTATAAATCAGTACCTAATTATATTCAAATTAAATAAATTATTGGCCAGAATTTTAAATAGAAATTTATTTAGTTTGACCATAATTTGATACTGCTTTTATAATTTAGTTAATTTGAATATAATTAGTAAATATAATAGGACACAATAAGATAGGTTAGTGTAGCTGAAAGTAAAGAAGAGTAACCTTGAGGTATGTCTTAAGGAAGTGTTCTACTTGTTTCCGTTTATCTTTTCGGAATAATTCATGTCTCTCAGGATTTACTGTCAGCTCTAAATGCTTTAGAACAAAGTGAAAACGATCCCTACAAGTAAATTAAAAGTAATATGTTGGTAATATTTTGTTTTTAAAAATTCAAACTTGAAATGCTTTTTAAACTGAAGTAAGAATCATTTGTAAAAATAGTTAAATATTTTGATAACGCTGCATCATTTTGCAAAAAAATATAAAAGTAATACAAATATGCATATTTTTCCAAATTTTTTCCGAGAGAGTAATGTAAATATTTTTATAATAATTTATAAAATACCAGCACATTACTAGTTATGAGTGCACGCACCGATGGAAGAGAGAAATGCTGAACCAGTACACGGCATCAAGCGTGGCAGCAACGAATAACATTGAAAACCAAAGCCAAATTAATATAAATATCTTTTCGTTGAATATATTGATAACAAGCACACACTGTAAATGGAATTTGCTTTTTCAGCACTTTTAGATTCTGCATGATTTGCATTGTTGTAACATATTTTCTTATGAACAGACAAAATTAATCCACAAATGAATAAAATTTGCAAAAAATTAACGATATTTCAACAAATTTGATTCACGAACTAAAGTAGTACCTGAACGGAATGACGCTGATTATTACCGAGAACACGTACTTCAAAATCGCACTAAAATTAATTGCATAGCTTTAATTAACTTCATGTTTGAAGTACATATGGCTATATGTACCACAACGTACAATTCATATAAAGCAGTATCAAACTGTATTCAAATTAAATGAATTTTACTTAGTACATTCTAAAATATGCAATTTTACTCATATTTATTTCTCCTACAATTTATGACAACAATTGTAATAATTAAATAAAGCTTTAAAAAAATGAATACGTAATTTCATTGGTTATAAGATTAGATTTAAAAAATTTTATTCGTTAAAGCTTTATTTATTATAATGCTCAAGTAACGATGAATTGAAAAAGATTTGTTCAAGTTATTCAAAGTTCGAAAAAAAAACACATGAGTTCATGACGTAGGAAATTAGTAAATACCAACCAAAGTAACCCGTGGAAAGTTTCCGGATTCCATCCAAGACCTGCCGAATAAAAGATCACGTAATACGCCAAGACCATAAATAGAATATTCGTCAGTTTCCAAAAATTTATTGACCAATATCAAATTCGTTAATATATTACTTACATACATCACTTTGGTAGCCTAAATTGTAACAAATTAGTGATTTTGATAGTATTCAGATCACTAAATGAAGAAAAGCAGCTTTGGTTTTTACTCTTCTAAAAGACTACTTTTGAAAACAAATTAGGAAAGTTATTCGCATGAAACAAAACTTAATTTTTGGAAAAACAGAGATTTTTAAGATGCTTCTGAGTATTGGAATCTCATGCATACGAATAATACATTTAACGCTCAAATACTCGAAAACAATATATTTACAAGGATCTTAGACAATGTCATTCTGAAAATCACACACGTGGAACTAAATTTAAAAATTGTCAGAAATAGAAAAGGTATACCAGATAAAGGCCTGTTACATAACTTTCATAATAGCGCATGTTGAAACATTTTAAAAATCGATGAAACGTGTACTGGGAACGTGATGTAGCCGCCTGCTGGTACCTGAAAGTAAAAATGTATTGAAAAATGATACACAAGAAATAAGAGAGTTGAGGGGAAAATATTGAGGGAAATGAACTCAATCCTACTTCAAGTTATAATTCTGATAATAATGGTGAGCAACTGGTTGGAAAGTATGACACGGAAGTTGAAAAGATCACAAGTGAATTGAATTGATCTGATTCGATCAATAATGAGACAACCTGAGAGCGGATTCGATATGACGAGATAATGATTCAATAGTTTTTATCCGATAGTCTGGTTCAATATTTTCTTTTTCAGTAGCCATTTGAACAATATCATTTAACCGAATGCCTGTAACAATAATTATCACTGCACATGCACAAAAATAATTTAAGATAATAAATACGCAACGATTTACACATTTGATTTGTAAAGTGATTTGATCTGTTGTATGCCATACCTTATTATTTTACCAGAATTCCAAATTACTCTCTCACTTCACAGTACAGTTATTTGCATTGCAGATGCTCAGAAATTCAACTCTTACTATATTAAATTAATTGGTTTACAAAATATGTGCAAACTCTTTAAAGCTCAATTAAATAAATTATTAATAATTTATAAACTTAAATTAAATGACTGATCAAATTATTAAATTCATAAGTATAAAACTTATGCATTACATTACTGCTTTATTTAAACCTGTATTTTCTTATAGGGAATTTTCCCATTTCTTTTCACTTTGACGTCATACTAAATTTGTTTTAAAATAAAAATCGGAATTTCATGAACTTGAAGTTTTTGAAATCCAACAAATTAATAAATGAAGTTCAAAAAAAAAGTTAATTAATAATTTTATTGTGTGTAATTTGAAGGAAGTCATAATTGAATGAAAAATGAAAGAGTAATTGGTGAAATTACCGGACTTGTCACTCATTAGACGCCAAACAAGACATGGAATGTAATAAAGGAAGGCTTGAATTAAAAGGAAAAATGGCACCCACTGATAATAAGATATCTGTCGATATTCTCGCTCTGCAATATCCATTGGGATATCCTGAAAAGCAGCTTACAAAATATGCATTTCAAAGATAAGATATTAAGTTTTATAAACTTTACTGATAAGTGATAATTATTTTGTCACTTATTGTTTACTGTACAACTTTGATAAAATTAGATATCACCTGTTCTATGGGTACCCAATAAGTATTTTGTGCCCAACAATACATTTCTGTGTATGCTTCCCAAGAACTCGTGAATTGCGCAGGTACCCAGCATTCCAGCGGTCGACCACCAAACTGCAACACTTAATGAGAATGAATTTTTTTTCAAGCATGAAAATTAAATTCAAAACAAATCATAGTGGACTATTTGTATTTAAATACTTATACATTTATCTCATGACTCGACTTCTTCTCGAAATGGATTCTTTAAAATAAGACAAATTATTTACTTTGTAGAAAAATGCACATTTGATTCATTATAATTTTTAATTTAATTACTTCAATAAAGATAAATAAATAATCAATTTTTCAATATAAAAAAGATAGTGACAAGAGTTTTATTCATTTATTTTTGATTGATGTGTTATATTTAATTAAGCTCTTCGAGAGTGAAAGTTCTATAAATTATTAAAAAAGTACCGTACTTGCTTGAAACTGACTAGAACAGCCATCATGATAAGAAATGAAGAAGTATAAAAATATGATAAGCGATCAATGAAATCGTCATCTTTACGATAGTGAAGGAATGATAAAGCGCTGAACATATTTTGTAGTACCATTGCGCCTACCTCGAATACAGCTGCCTGATGAAAACTTCCCGCTGAATTGCGCTCGCGTCCTAAACTCTTAGGTATTACAAACTTACTTTTATTATTTTTACTTTAGGAAAATTTTTTCAAATTTATGCTTAAAATGAGTGACTCTTTTTATATTTTGAATATGTGTTATATTTGAATATGAAATTTCAAAATATAGAAATATAATATGCTGTAATAATATTAAAAAATTATATAAAAGCCTTAGAATATTACTTTGAGTAACATATTGTCAGCTTATTAAGAACACAGCAAAAATAATGTGATCTGGAAATATGAATCTCATAGTTTATAACTTTGAGGAAAAAATAAGAACAATGAAAGAATCTACAAAATTTAATCATATATTTCTTTGTCTAATCTTAGTAATTAGACATTTCTACTTGATTGCTAAGAGTAACACAGAATAACAAAGTATTTGCAAAAACAGCTGAAATATTTTACAAAATTGTATACAATCTTTATAATATTAAGTGATCAATAAATCCTGTAACTTTTTCAATACTAGTGCAAAATTAACCATTTTTTTGTGAATTTGTATTTCAAGATTATGCCGGAATTTTGAATTTAATTTTCTTAAATAAAATTTTCCGTCATTATTCATTACAAAAATGTTACAGTGTTTGCAGCACTTCTGTGAATACCTCGAAAATTGCATATTTATGCAACAATTAACATTGTTTTCATTTTTAATTAGTAAATCAGTTTTGTATTGAAATTATTTATAATTATTCATAAAACTAATTTATACCTTTCACTCTCAATTCTCCAATGTATAACAAAAAAGTTATTATTCTAGCAAACTCTTACTAATTGAATGCAGGACTTAATTCAGTAAGTTAAAATTTTTACAGTTGAAAAAAGCTATTATCTTATCAATAAGATTGATTGACTTTTAGGATTAAGATGACTTTCCAATTTTGATATCCAAAGCTTAAGATTGCTAGCCGAGAGCGAGTGATATATAAGGATAAAATCAGATAATTAAAAAGTTAAACATTAATTATAACTAAAAATATACAAAAATCTGTCTGCTATGCAAGTATTGCTTTAAGAAGTAATCTTACTGAGCAAATTGACTTTAAAATAGTTTCACATTTGAGCTAAATATGAAAATAAAACCAATAAATACTTTTTTACAATTGAAACTTGTAATATTTAGATTAAATTTCGCTTGAAAAACCAAATATGGAAGATTTGCTAAATAGTAAGTGCATGTGTTAAGATTATTTATACAGATGATAAATGGTACTAATTAATTAATTAATAAGTACCATTTAATTAATTAATTAATAAGTACCATCTCTATACTATGTAAGAATTTTATTTGGGTTTTAAAAAATTTAGTACTCAAAAAAGACAGTTTAAACTATATGAAAATCAATCATTAATATAAAAATTGTAATGAGCAATAAAGAAGTCTAGATTTACTCTAATAAAAGTATATATTCAAGTTTTAAGTCATTTGTTACAAGTAAAACTGAAAAATGGCTTAAAATTAGAATATATATATTACTACCAAATATACAAGTATTTTACGGGTAAAATAGCAGCGAAATATGAATGATCAAAAAAAAAATTTGATGGAACTGAAGTTTAACACAGAAGAAAAGTGATCTGAAAAATAACTGTCTAAACTAATTTACATAAACAAATTCATTTAATGTTTTAAATAAATTTTGATACAGAAATAATTTTTGAACTATACCTCTTCTATAATGTCTTTGTAGACTTCTGAACGAGGCAATAGTGTCAAATTTACTTTGCGAATTCATCTGCACTACAATTTAGCATCGTTACAACAGATTCCAACTTATAATTTTTGGAAGAATTTGATTTTTTAATACTTCGATCATTTCTTTCGTCTTCATCTTCATTTGACAACATAAAAATAAAATACAGTAAATAATTTTAACACAATAAATTTTTGGGATTTAGTCTAACTTCCAGTATAATAATATCATATAACAAATATACATTAATATGTTAACAGCATATGTAAATTAAATATTCCCTGACAATTACACCAAATATTCGCTGACAATTACACCGAATATTCTCCGACAATTACACCAAATATTCTCTAACAATTACACCGAATATTTCCTGACAAATCATTAGTAACAAGAAAAATTGAGAGTTAAAATTTAGGAACAAAACAATTTTCAAAAACTTTTTGATTCTTTCTACTATTTTTACTGCTTGGCAGTTAAATGAAATTTGAATTGTTTGAGCAAAGAGCTGCTTAATGTTCATGAAAACCATCAAAAATAGATATCTTCTGAATATTTTTTCAAACATATCAAAATACATTTGAGGATTCATTGCTAAATGCATAAATGTAGAAGCAATCGCTAGTTACTTACGATATGAATTTAAAATTTGCAATTTCGCTCATCTATATTGTCACTTTCATTCATTATATGCTTTATTAGAAATTCTTAAATCTCAATATATTTCGAATTATCTGTAATTAAAATACATTCCTTTCATTTTCACTGTTGTTATTACTTATTTTACGACATTACTTTATTTCATTTACAATGATTAAAGCATTCATTTCTTACACATTATCCTGAAGTGCTGTAAACAGTCATATTTGTCATAATTATTAAAATCAGATAATGAAAATATCATTTTCAATGGTAGCAAAATGAATTAGCATAAAGAATGTATATTTTTTAACTATTTATTAAGCAACAAAAATTGACTTAACGTTTATGAATTTAATTTTGTAAAAGCAGCTTGCAGATAGCGAGATAAGAGTAATAACTATTCCACTTGTCATATTATCCTTTAAGTTAATGGATTCTCTACAACTCATGAATAATCGCTCTTTAAAAAGTAATTCTTTCGGTTGAAATAAAAGTAAACAAACTTTTAGTTACTTGCTAATAACTTGTTGCCAAGAATCCTATAAACTTTCAAAAAGCTATTCTTAAAGAAGAAAAAAATAGCTACTATTGTTTTGACAAGAATTGTTTTAACTTGCCAGAAATAGATAGAAGAAATTCCCAGAGAGATTTGAAACTCACTTTTTTTCAGACTTCATTTATCCGAAAGAGATGCTTGGACAAATGCAACGCATGCCGATGACAATATCATGTACACAATGATAATTTAGACTTGTGAAAAGCATTTAGGTTATAATTTTTTTAATGTATCAAATGAAGAGCCATATTCAGCATTATTTATGATCACTGTTAGTATTAATACAAAATGACTAACTAGTTAATAACTAGTAATAATTAGATTAATAAATTGATAAGATCAAAATTTTTCTGCAAAAATCAAAATTAATTAAAATTCAAACTGATTTGTAAGCACTTAAATCGAATATTTAAGGCAGATTTTGCTGCTAAATATCGCATCTTTATCCTCTGCTTGCTTAATTTAGTTATTTTTGCAAGTACACAGCCCTATTTCACGGCTTTTACATTTTTAATTATTCAATTTTTATGCTTATTGCATTTTTGCTATTTTGAACTACTTCTTAAAATAGTTTGAACGACTGATAAAAATATAAAATAATTGTGAAGAAGCATTTACTATCATGTATTTTAACATTAAATTTAACGTTTAAGGCAAATAAATTGTGATAATAAAATCACAAATTATTTTATCAAACATTCTAAAATAACTTGTTAAACTAAAAGCCAATAAAACTGAATCCATTTATGATTTTAGAATAATTTATTTTTAAAAGATAAAATCTTTTGCAATTCTTCCCAAGTCATAGAATTCAAAAAAACTTGCTTTAAGAAAATGGACTATTAACAGTCTTTGCTTGCTTTCTGAACTTTAAAAGTATTCATCTTTAAGGTAAGATGGTACAGAAATTTAGCAAAGATTTTCAAAATTAGCTTGATTTATAAAAATATTCTGGAATTCATCAAATATAGAGAGAATTTCTTCTACAAAAGTCAAAAAACTTGGGTGTGAGTTTTTTCAGTAGAATGACAAGACTATATGATCACAAATATCGCGTTGATTCCACTGAATCTTCCAGTGCAATGGGCAATTCGAACTCAAAGATCAAAGCTTTTACTAAATTATAAGAAATGAATATATATATATATAT